CACACACACACACACACAGGCACACAGACATCCCAGTATATCCATTCACACCCAGAACCAAGAACACATATCCAGGCCCATCAAAGCAAACATCTTAATCCACACCCCCACTCCTGATTAGATCCACAAATAGAAACTGGCTCTTTTAATGGCCAGGCCTGCCCATCTATAAATCGAGACAGAACACCTACCCCAGTGCATTTAAAAACAGCTTGAATCAGGTTTTAAAGACAATGAAGTTAATTTAAAAGCCCACCTTTTATTGTACTAAAAAATAGTGAGATCAAAAACAATTAAGTTAGTACAACAGCTCTCCTGCTTTTTTTAGTCAATGAATGTTTTAAATGAACTGTATTTTTAAGCTCACTGTTAACTCAATAAAATGAAGTTTTTAATTTAACATAATTGTTCTGAATTCACTAAATAGGTGTGTGTCTCGTGTGTGTGTGTGTGTGTGTGTGTTTAATTGACTTGACTTTTTGTTGCTGCTTGAATGTTTCTCTCTGCACTTGGGTGGTCCTGCTTGCTGGTCTGTAAGTGGACGCATTTTAATATTTGGGTCTTGTATCTACACATATATTTGCACACACACATACACAAACACACACACACACACACACACCATTACAGATATAAATGTGTCTTCAAGAGCCTGAGATCTTCTTCTTCACACTGACACCTATTCTCACGTTTCATGTACGTATATCTATACTGACACACACTGAATATCATTATACTATGCCACAGATGCCTACATGCCCAGAGCTATGTATACCATGATATATATTTGGCACAAAATCAAATCTACTTCCAACCACATCAACATATACTGACAGGCCTCAGACAGGCACGCAGGCATGCCCCAATGCATCCATCCAGATAGAGTCACATATTTATACAAACCTTCATAGATCCTTCCTCCCTCCTTCCGCTCTCTCTTTTCCTCTCCTTCTCTGTCTGTCTCTCTTTCTCCTCCTCTGTCCCCCTCCCTAAACAGCCACACTCAAGATTTAAATCAATCTTAACAATATTTCTCTGAAGCATTAAGAAATCGATAGGACTGATTGCAAATTTATGTCATAAAGCAGGGGCGATCCATCTCGCGGAAAGAGTCTTAAAATGAAGTGACTTATCTTCAAGTGAATCTTTATTTTTCATTAATCTGTTTCTCAATGTTAAAAAAAAAATCTCCTGAGAAGTCAGCCCAAAATTTATTGACCAGCTGGTTCATTCTGAAGTTCTAACTTTCTAATCAATTTTATTTTTCATTATGAGACTTTGGAGAAATAAATCTGATTCTAAATTTTTATCGACCTCTGGGTCAGAGCTTTGTAGACTGACGTCTCAGTATTTTACATATTTATTCATCCCTGCTCCCACCTCCTGGCTAGGATACAGGTCCATAGCGAGGATGCAGCCAAGAGTTTGGGATTGGATGCTGGGCCTCACCCCAATTTCTGAGGAGAGCCCTGGAACCCAGATCTGAATCAGGAGAGGAAGGCTGGCTCCAGGTATCCACTAGGCGGGCTGCCCCCAGGAGGGATCAACTGCCCAGCCCCACCTCACTTTCCTCTCCGTCATGCCTCTGGGAGGAAAGAGCCAGGCTGCCGCTATGTGTGTGAGTGTGCTGCATGCACATGGTCTTACGAAAAATATCACTAGGCCCTTCTGAATCTCTCTCATTCTCAAGTCTACCTTTTTAAAGAGCCCGGAAGAGGGATCCAAGCATGTGGGCTTTTCCTATCAGGAGGAGAGTCAGACAGTCACCTTGGACGATCGGTCCCTGATGGAGACGGGCAGCCCCCAAGCCCCACTGTTGAGATGGGAAAGCTCCAGGAAGAACACAGATGGCCCTGAGAATGCTCTCTGATCCAGAGCCCTGGGCAGTGGCTGTGGAGGGAAGCCCGGCTGGGGCTGCAGGCTGTGCTGAAGTCTGAGCCCTGTCTCTGCTAGGCAAGCCACCTCACTTCTCATCTCCATGGCCTCCTCTGGTGAAAGGTGATAAAAGTGCCTTCTCTGTCTGCTTCCCAGGAATGAAGAGAGGGTCAGATAAGTTGGTAGAGAGAAAGCACTTGGAGACTGGAGGATGCAGTGAGACAGGAAGCCCCAGGATTGCCGGCCCTTCAGTACCCAAGGAGAGGTTTGGTGGTAGGGCCAGAGCTGCCCAGGGAAGCATTTCTGGGTCCTGCTCAAGGTCGTTCTGTTCTGTTTCCCTGCCCAGCTGTGGAATCTCCCCAAAGATTTTTCCTTAAGTAACAGATGCTTCAGTCACCCCCTATAGTTTACAGGTCTTTGTCCTTAGAAATGGCTGTAGCACATACTGGTCTTTTTTCCCCGCAGTTCCTCCACCCTCAGAGATAGGGAGGGCAGTTATTTTCATCTGATGTTAGAGAGGAGGAATTTGGCACAAAATCGAATCTACTTCCAACCTTATTACAACACGTGGGGTTTGGAGGATGGGCCAGCATGGCGGAGGAACCATTTCCCCCCTTTGACACTGCAAGTTTTTCATCTCACCCCAGGCAGAACCTCCATCAGAGAACCAGGGAGGAGAGGCAAGTGGGGATTATTGGGCGGGGGTGTGGGGGACCTGCCATTTGCCTCCCTCTCCGTCCACCCCTCAAATCTTGCTAGGTTTAGTGATAAAACAGGCATGGGCATCATATAAGACCACAGACTAGCAAGCCTGCTGGGAACTTCTGTCCTGGATTGAGGAGAGAGGAGGTAAGGACACATTCCAGGGGAGATGCCTTAGACACACCTACCTTCCAGGTCACCTGGATGCTCTGTGAGGTCACTGGCTGCAAGGTAACATCCATGGGTGGCCCATCAGGAGCTGAGCAGGGTATCAGGAGAAAAGACATTACAAGTCAAGACTTGGAAGAGGAAGGAGTTCTATGTTCCCACTCCCATCTTCCTGAGCTGGAGGGCTCCTGGGCAGAAGACAAAGCTCAGATGCAGATAGCAGAGAACTTTTGTTTGAGTTCCCCTGAAAGTATTATAGGTTTTCAATTTCCCCTTCATTCTCCATAATTTGCTGAAAATGTAGCAAACAATGATAATAACATACTACTGTACATCCAGTAGGATGGCAAAAGTTTTTAAAAGTTGAAGAGTATGAAGTGTCTACTTCATACAAGAATGTCTAGTGGTAGGAACTCTTATTCTCTGATTATGGGAGAGAAAATTGGTATGATACTTCAGAAAACATTCTAGCATTTTTTTGTGAAAGATACAAGTATTTGTCTATTTGATGACTCTGTAATTATACAACTGCTTCTATCCCCCAGAGAAGCTCATGAACTCGTATACTAGCATACAAGAACACTTATAGAAGTATTTTTGTAATAGCTCCAAGCTACAAACAACCTAAATGCCCATCTATAGTAGAATGGAAAAACCCACTGCGGTATAGCCATATAATGGAGTACAATACAGCATAGAAAAAGCATAAACTATATAGCTATGCTAATGACATGAATGAAGCTTGCAAAAGTAACATTGATCAAAACAAGCAAGACACAGAAGAATATATGAAGTATGGTGTCATGAATACATTCTACTGGAAAACAGGCAAAACTAAACTATACAGTTTATTGCATATACACATTGTGGTGACAGTACAAAAAAGAAAAGCATGAAAATTAGTATCACAAAAGTCAGGATACTGATTACTTCAAGGCGAGGGGTGGCATTATGACCAGAAAGGGGTACATGGGGGACCTCTGGCATGCTGGCTAATTGATAATAGATGCTGGTTATACTCATTGTTTACCTTATGCTTGCTTATAAAACTGCACATAAATATCATGTGTATTTTTCTGCATTTTTTTTTGAAACAGAATCTTGCTCTGTTGCTGGGCTGGAGTGCAGTGGTGCAATCTCAGCTCACTGCAAGCAACCTATGCCTCCCAGGTTCAAGTCATTCTCCTGCCTCAGCCTCCCGAGTGGCTGGGACTACAGGCATGCAGCACCATGCCTGGCAAATTTTTGTATTTTTAGTAAAGACAGGGTTTCATCATGTTGGCCAGGCTGGTTTTGCACTCCTGACCTCAGATGATCCATCCGCCTCAGCCTCCCAAATTGCTGGGATTATAGGCATAAGCCCCTGTTACCAGCCTTTTCTGCATTGTTTTATATTACATGATAGCAAAAGAAAATAGCAAGAGAAATCTTGTTTAAACTTTCAGGAAAATTCCATGATGAGGGTCATAGAAAATGATCCAAGCCCTAGTACCCCATCTTTTGCAGATAGGTCTTTCCAGATGCTGGGGAGAGGGGAGTGGGGCAGAACCATGGAGAGCTCCCCCAAACCCAGTATCTGGATCCCCACCTGGAAAAGGGTCAAACAGAAGAGCCTTCAAAGACCCAGAGGCGGACACAAATGTCTGTTAGGATGCTTTTCCCCACCCCACCCCCTCTAACTGCAAGCTCATTGCCAAAGAACAGGATTGATGTGGGCCCCTGGTGTCCCTGACTCCTGAGGCCAGGGGCAGGGCAGAGGAGGCTGGGCAAGGCACTCACCAGCCTCCTCAGTGCTGACAGTGAGCTCCTTGCTTGGTTCACTGCGGCCAATCTTGTTAAAGGAGTACATGCGGATGCTGTACACAGATGCTGGGTGCAAGTCCACTATGTTGGCCTGGTTGATGGTGGGGGAGATGTTACGTGTGGACTGCTTGAAGTCCCAGGAATCTGGAGAGAAGACACCTACGTCAAAGCACAGCCAGGCAAACTCCAGGACCCCGTCCCCACCTGAAGCACCAGCAAAGCCCAGTCTTAAGTTGGATGCCCCAAGGGATCCAGCTCACACAGACTGCAGAGAGAGAGCACAAGCCTGAACAACTTCATGGAGGTGCAAAGGGTCTGCCCCATGAAGCTCCACCTTGGGAGAAGCCTGACTCTTCTCTGCCACTGGCCAGCTTGTGAGCTCAAACTTCAGGCAGAGGTCAGACGAGATGTTCCCCAAGGTCCCTGCCAAGATCACCACCTGCTTACTCTCCCTGAGGGTCTGACCGGCCAGTGTCCTTCTTCCTGGGTCTCTCCTCACTTCAGTGACCTGGTCTAATGGTGGGACACCCCATCTACCCAGTGGACCCCATGCAAAGCAGGAGGCTAAGTCTCCTCTCCCTTTTTCCTCCTCTTGTGTGTGCTTCTGTATTTCTTTTACTTGTGCACTTGTGAGGTGATGAACTTGAGTGTTTTTTTCTTTTTTGAGATGGAGGCTTGCTCTTTCACCAGGCTGGAGTGCAGTGACATGATCTTGGTTCACTGCAACTCATCTCTGGGATTCAAGTGATTCTCCTGCCTCAGCCTACTGAGTAGCTGGGACTACAGGTGCACACCACCATGCCTGGCTAAATTTTTTGTATTTTAGTAGAGGCGGGGTTTCACCATGACCAGGATGGTCTCGATCTCCTGACCTCATGATCTGCCTGCCTTGGCCTCCCAAAGTGCTGGGATTGTAGGTGTAAGCCACCGCACCCGGCCAAACTTGAGTGTTATATATCAGGGTTGAGGGGGACAGACCAAGTACCACAGTCCTCAGCCCAAACACTACTCTCTTTCCTTCACCAGTAAGGGGACAGTTTCTGAGTCATTAGGGTTAGAGATCACCAAAGAGATGATCATGTCCACGATTTATCCAGGGAGACTGGCAGTCCATCTCAGGGCTGGCTGATGTTTAGCAAAATTGTGGGAGGTGGAAAATACCAGATAAATGCCATTCAGGCGTCACTAAACAGCGCCTATGCCCATGCTGTGATTAGGAACACCCTGCATCTCCAGAGGAATCCAGTCATCTGTTCAATATATTTTTGCCACGCACCTACTAGGGGACTCCAGAGGAAATGGGAAGGGTTGCAATTGACAATGCCTCAGCCTATAATTCCAGCACTTTGGGAGGTCAAGGTGGGCGGATCACCTGAGGTCTAGAGTTCAAGACCAGCTGGCCAACATGGTGAAAACTCTCTACTAAAAATACAAAAATTAGCCAGGCATGGTGGCATGTCTGTAGTCCCAGCTACTTGGGAGGCTGAGGCAGGAGAATCGTTTGAACCCCAGAGGCGGAGGTTGTAGTGAGCTTAGATTGCACCACTGCACTGCAATCCAGGCCAGACAGTAGAACTCCGTCACAAAAAAAAAAAAAAAAAAAAAAAAAAAAAACCACAAAAAAAAACTCCCAACCCCCCCTCTAAAAAAAAAAAAAAAAAAAAAAAAAAAAAAAAAAAAAAAAAAAAAAAAAAAGCCTTAGCTAGAACCTTCCACACCCCGGATTCTTAACCAAATAACTGGTTTCGGCACCTTACTTTGAAAAGAAAAAAAGGCAAAGCACAAGGAAACAAGCAGATAGCAGGGCTGAAAAACGTTCCCAGGGCAAGTCTGGATGCCACTATTCCAGGTAATTTTCTATGCCTTTAAATCCACAGTACAGTATCATGAAAAAGTCTCCACAGAAAAGATTAACTTATATTCACCATAGTTTAAATCCTAAATTAGGAAAGGAGGCTAGCACATTCTAGAAAGATTAAAAAAATTTTTTTTGGTTAAAACTAATGCTTGATAGGCTAGGCACGGTGGCTCATGCCTGTAATCACAGCACTGTGGGAGGCCAAGGTGGGTGGATCATTTGAGGTCAGGAGTTTGAGACTACCTGGGCCAATATGGTGAACCCTGTCTACTAAAAATACAAAAATTAGCCAGGCGTGGTGGTGGGTGCCTGTAGTCACAGCTACTTGGGAGGCTGAGACAGGAGAATTGCTTGAATCCCAGAGGCAGAGATTGCAGTGAGCCAAGATCGCGCCACTGCACTCTAGCCTGGGCAACAGAGCGAGACTCCTTCTCAAAAATGAAAAAACAAACAAACAAAAAACCCCCCAAAACCCTCATGCCTGATAAATCAGGCGAACTGGTTCACCAGAAGGCACTGTCCCAGGCCCCCAATTTCTGGTTAGTTGAGATCTTGACATTTGCAAAACACTACTTGTAGCTGCTCAGGCTTAGCATCTGTGAAGGGCACTGGCCCAGCTTCCCATCTGTAGTTCTGCATTTTCTTCTTTGGTCTCATGAGCCAAAGGAACAAAATGGCAGGCTGCTGGTGCTCAAAAGCACATGATTTTCTCCTTGTATTTTAAAACACCCCAACCATGGGAGGATCACTTTGTGGCTGGCAGGGTAAGCTGGAATTTCAAATATGCAGGCTCCTACCTACTGTGGGCACTCTTCTGTGGGTTTGGAACAGAACAGGCTAGTAATGTGGAGGCAGGTGCTCCCTCCTCTCTGTGACATCCTAGGAGCCGGCGCCAGCTAGTAAGTCACATCTGATGTGCCCATGCTTATGGGAGAGGGATAGGGAGCGCAAGTCAGTGCATTCATTTTTGATGAGTGCAGGCAGAGGGAGGAGACTCGGTAGGTGTGTCCGGAGAAGAGGCACTAATATTTACCAAGCACCTGTGGTGTGCCAGGTGCAGCACTGGGCAATTTAAACTCTCACCGTCATCTCTACAGCAGAGGTGACCTTCACAGCACCAAACCCAATTTCCCACCTGGCTTCTTGGGTGTGTCCAACACTTGGCCTTCTCTTCCTTCTTCAGAAAACACTCACCCCTCGGCTCCCTAATTAAACACTCTCTGGCCTTTTGCTTATCTCTTGGGTCCGTTTCTCTCTGTCTCCGTGCAGGTGATTCCTCCTCTACTCTACCAGGAATGGCTCGAGTTCTTCAAGGCTCCACCGACGCTTCCTTCTCTCTTGCCATGCACTTTCCCCACCCATGTATTCTATTTTCATCGATGCACTGATACCTCCCAGCCTGGGCCTCTCCTTCCAACTCCAGACCTTATAGCCAACTTTGTAGTTGATGGCTCATCTTGGATATTTCACAGTACCTCAAACTCAACCTGTCTTGACCATACACCCTGTTTACCCAGCAACTTCCTGAGTTCCATCTCTATGGCATGACCATGATCAATTTCTTCACTCTTCCTTCTCTCCCCTCCCTATCAAGTGTGATAGCTTTTATGTTCTGTGTCATTCTTGAATCCCCCTACTTCCCTCCCTCTGCATCCCTACCTCAGGCCCCGCCACTGTCATCCCTACTTAAACAAGGGAAATGCCCTCTTCCCTAGCCCTCTGCATGCTCAGCATGCCCTGTTTCTTTCATCGGTTCTCCACACTGCAGCCATCCTCCACTCTACAAATACAGCTGAGCCCCTCTTACAGGTGAGCCTTCTGTCTTGGCCCTGAGAGTGGTCTTCTCAAAACACAAATCTGATACTGCCATTTCCTTGCATACAATTCTTCAATAGTTCTTCCTTGCCCTCAGGATAAAGGTAAAATTTCACAACCTGACCCAGGCCCTGCAACAAGAATTGCTTGAACCCAGGAGGTGGAGGTTGCAGTAAGCCAAGTTTGCGCAACGTGTTTTTGAGCACCAACAGCTTGCCATTTTGTTCCTTTGGCTTCTGCTCCCCTCCCTAGCCTTATCTTTCTCCATTCTTTTCCTCAGAACTCTTCCAGCATTTAGAGGGCCCCCCACCACCTCAGTCCACAGTATTTTCTCTCAAGCGTTCACTGTTCAGTGGTACTGCCCAAGTAGATGCCAAACTCCCTGAAGTCAGGATCCCTGTCTGAAACTCTGGTCCTCTCCCCAATTTCACATGTGTTGGGCACTTACAACATGCTGTTGATTTTAAATCAGAGCCACTGTTTTTCCCCTTTACTTGGGACTTGGAGTTCCTCTGCGCTCTGTGGCCACAATGTACTCTCTGCCAATCCCTTTCTTGCCTCACTCAGCTGCAAATCACAGGAAGGGTGGGCTGGGGAGTGTCCCAGAGAACAACTCCTTCTCATCTCCTGCTTTTGCCACCGGTAGTTTGCAGGTGGATTTGACCTTGTGTTCCCAAATCATCTTTGGTGTTAGCACAAAATAGCTCTCTCTCCACAACCTTTCCAGGCTAATGGATCAGAGACAAATCTGGAAGCCTCTAGCTGATTTTCTAAACTTGATCACTGCCATCTCCCTGACCCTGAATAGCTGAGATCAGGGGCCCGATTTTCTTCCTTTTCCTTTGCAGTTCTCAGAGTACTGAGCTGGCTCTCGTGAATATTGTCTCTTTTAATATTCCCTTTCATGTGAGCCTGGCTTACCCAGATTAACATATTTCATTAAGGGCTCTCTCTCCCTTTCTTCATCAAAGGGTTTATGATGCAAAATATTCCTCTTAAAAATAAGGAAGCGGCTGGGGAGATGTCAGTGCCTTCTGCTTTGTGGGCTGCTTGCTGAGAGGAGACTGGGAATCTCTGTTTTTTCACCATAGAGGGGACGCAGCTTGGAGAAAAGCCACATCTGGAGTGTTTAGCTGCCTGGGTTCAGGAAACAAATCCATTCTGCATCTCTCATTTTCTCCTTGGATCACGCCTTTGAGACCCCCATGGCAATCTCTTCCCAGCATGGAGAAGAGCCTCCCTGTGTCACAACAGCTCACGACATCCCAACATCCGTCCCTCTGACAGCCACACTCCAGTTCCCACAGAACACCATGCCACACCAGGCCAGCTCACCCCATGGTGGCCGGCACAGCCCCTGCACCGGCTTGCACTGTGAGGCTGGTGTAGGGGAGGGCCATCCTCAAAGAACCCACCTGTGCTCGGTGCTTGGTGAACACGGGGGAAATGTGGTGTCTGCATTTTTAAATCTGCACAGTGCCATCTGATAGATTTGTGTGGACGGTGCTATTTATCATTCAGCATTCATGTATTATTACTCTGCTGCTTGGGGCCAGGAGAAGTCAGCATGAGCGGGACGGCTTAGAAAGGGCAGACTCGGTAATTTTCCTTGGAAAATTAGCATGATGAGCAACATGGCAGAAATCCTGGCAAAGGCATGGTTGGGGCAAAGAATGTCAGAAACCCATGGTAAGGACCCAGGATGGATGTGGCCTGGGACAGCGGGAAGGGGAGAGGGGACGCAGAGACTCAGGACAGGGATCTGTGGGAGGGTACCACGTGCCAGGCTGGGTGCTAGGCACCTCCACGTACGGCATCACACTCCCCTAATCCTCACGGCCTCCCTGGGAATGAAATGTTTCTGCCTCCATCTTACAGATAAGGAGACGCCCAAAGATGTTAGGTAGTCGCTAAAGATCACACAGCTATGACACTTGGTCAGCCCAAGACCTCAGCTTTGCCAATGGTTCTCGTTCCACTATCGCACAGGTGCAGGAAGCTGCCCTTAGACACACCACACACACTTGTGCACACCCCCTCCTTCCTTTGAGTCATCCTCTGTTCCCTTGGATACCTTTTTCTGTTCTCACATAATACAGTTTGTGGCATATTATACTTGATTGGATAGTTCTTTGTAATGGTTCTGAAAGTGTGCGTGCGTGTGTGTGTGTGTGTGTGTGTGTGTGTGTGTGTATGTTCTCACTCCCACTGCATTGCAAGCTCCAAGAGCACCATTCTGTTTGCTATGTCTTTTTCTTTTTCTACCACATGGCTGGTGCATGATTCTGCAAAAAAATATTGGCACTCAGTACATGTGGTTGACTGACAGACACATATATTTCAGCCTGCAAGTCCCATAAGACTATAAATTGCTGCATGAGGTATTTGAGTGAGAAGAGACAGAGGAATTTACATTTATTAAAAGTTTACTCTAGCCCCATGCTATAATAGATGCTTTCTCTCTGATCCTCTAAACTATCCCATGAGGTAGGCATCACCGCTCCCATGTCACTGACGGGGAAGCTATGCAGTGCCCAGGGTCTCTGTCTGCCTCCAATGATAGCACACTGCAGTTCTCACGGCACACCAGTTCCTAAATGCCAGGATGTGACAGATGCCCGCCTGGGTGGGCTGTGCTGGAGCCATCCCACCCAAAGGTATGGAAAGAACCGGCTGCCTTCTTAGTGCTCTGGGTCCTGTGACTTATTTCGTTAAGGGTGCAAAGCCCTTGTGGTAGGCAGAGTCTGAGGTTGAGCTTTCATTATCCCTCCCTCCACCCTCCCCACCCACCCTGGCATGCCCAGCTGGGGTGGTTGACTGAAGTTCCTCATCCTGCAGGAAGCCAGAAGGGGAAGACATGGATGTGGTCTAAGAATAGCTTCTTCCCTGCCACCTTGCCTTCTGCCTTGCTCTCCAGATGTGTGATGTTCTCCACATCGCTCCTGCTGAGTGGTGCCCCAGGAGAGGCTCCCACACATTAGAGAGTGGTCAGTGGAGGGCAGTGGGCATCAGGGCAGCATGGGGGAAGGAGGAGGGGGGAGGGGAGTGAGTGACAGCCCAGGCATCCACCTCCCACCCCAGATGTGCGCTGGCAGGGGGGTGGTGTGTGCAATGTCATGTGGGGATGTCACCTTCTGGACCCAGCCCTTCCTGTTTACTCTTGGATGGCTTGTGCCCAACCTCAGAGAGCCCTGAGATGTGACATGGACACAGTCAGCCCTTCTGTCCCCTCTGTCCCCTTTGCCTCATCACATTTCCCCAGCTGCAGGGCTGCAACAGCCTCCTTGCTTTTCTCCTGGATGCCAATTTCTTCCACTCACATTCATTCTTCTAAGGCGCCGTGTTGCTCAAGCCTCCCCCTGGGAGCTCAGACATTGATAGTGGCTCTCAATGACCTTCCCCAGCAAAATGAAAGCTCAGCCCAGACGCCTCCCTTCCAGCCTGGCCCCAAAGCACCTTTGTAGACTTAATGCCCATGAATTGCATCTCTGAGCTCCTGTGCTAGATCATAGGCTGCTTCCTGGAGCGCACTGCACCCTACCTTGGTCTCTGTCCTTCACTTTCTCAAGATCTCGGCCTGTTGCCTTTCTGTACCCAAGATCCAGCTCAACAGGGGACCAGACAGTTGCCTTCTCAGATAACCCCTGTTGGCTGAAGGCCCTCCTTGGATCTGTGGCCCTCCTGCACTCAGGTTGAACTCCTGGGTGGCTGACTGCAACTAGACCAGAAGCTTCTGAGAATAGGATTTGTCTCTGTCGACATGTGTATCAACAATGACTGACCCAGGGCCCTGGACAGAGTGGTTTCTCAATGAGGTGACACAGCTCGGAGATTCGCTTTCACATGTCTCACTTCAACTCACTCACCAACACTTGCTGATCATCTACTGTGTGGCCGGGTCCTGTGCCAGGTGCTGGAAATGCAAAGGGAACAGGACTTGGCCAATCAAGAGGAGAGGATGGCTGGCTAGCCAATGGCCACTGCCGTGCTAAGTGGGAGTGGAAGAGTCTGGAAGGCTTTAGGAGAAAATGAAACCTCCCATCTAAGCAAGGATTCATAAGAGGAGTTGAGCTGGTGGGGGAAGGAGACTGAGGAAGATTGAATAATCCAGACTCTACTCTTTTCTGTGCTTTATTTGTAATTAATTAATTTGTAATTATTTTGAGGAGTGAATATAGGCTTATGCTATAGAATTCAGAAGGTACAAAAGATCTAGAGTGAGATGTCTGTTTTCTTCTGACCTCTGCTGTGAAGCCACCCAGGTGCCCTCTATTCCCGTCTAAGGCCCCCTCCTTGCCATTCCTGCCACCCAACCATGGGACCCATGGCAGTCTCCCCGGATGCCAGGTGCCCATGGTGCCCCACAGTGCCTCATAGAGGTGGGGCAGCCACACAGCAGCCAGCTCGAGTCAGAGGAGGGCTCCAGGAAGGGCTTTTTAGATTTATTTCTATTTTTTCGGGATGGAGCCTCACCCTGCCACTCAGGCTGGAGTGCAATAGTGCAATCTTGGCTCACTGCAGCTTCTGCCTCCCAGGTTCAACAAATTCTCCTGCCTTAGCTTCCTGAGTAGCTGCGATTACAGGCATCTGCCACCATGCCTGGCTAATTTTTGTATTTTTAGTAGAGACAGGGTTTCACCATGTTGACCAGGCTGGTCTTGAACTCCTGACCTCAGGTGATCCGCCTGCCTTGGCCTCTCAAAGTGTTGGGATTACAGACATGAGCCACCACACCCAGCCGGGAAGGGTTTTTAGAGGAAACTGAGGACCAAACTTTTCCAGGGCCTCCTATTCCCCAATGACCCACTCATGGGGACCATTCTTAGGACCAGCTCTCTGATCTCCAATCATCCTCCTCATCCCAGACCAAGACCATCCAACTGACCTGACCAAACCCGTGATGCCTCTGATGCCAGAGACAGCCCACAGCCCTGGGTTCAGTGCCTTTACATGGCTTCAAATCGGACCACCCTTGGTGATCCTGGCCCAGGGACAGTTATGGAGAGGAGCTGACATCGCTACCCATCAACTGGGCGTCTCCATCTTCTACCTGGACTCCTAGCTCAGCCAGTGTCCCTCCCTTCAGAAGCCACAGCTGCTTATGCACTGGTGGGTGCTCATGTGTCTGCCTTGGTTGGGCAGCCCTGAGATCTAGGGGCTGTCCCTCCAGAGGGGCACAGGCAGGACATATGGCACAAGGGGCCATGGCAGGCCATGCCATCACCCTCCTGGCCCAGCACCTACCTGATTTATTCTTGTATTCGATGTCGAAGCCCGTGATGATGCTGTTCCCATCAAATCGCTGGGTCCAGCGCAGGTTCATGCTCCGGGCCTTCACCTCCCGGATCTCCAGCTCTGGGGGGTCCGGAGGCTCTGGGGTGCAGCAGGGAAAGGGAGGGGAGGGGAGGGGAGGGAAGTGAGGAGGGCAGCAGGGAGCTTGGCCTCCTGCTTAGCCCTGGGGGTTGGCGTCATCTGGGTCTAGCCAAGGACTCTGACACCCTGGGGTTTGAGCAGTGTGGGGGCTGGGGCAGGCCAACAGCCGGGCTGGGAGGCTGAGGAGGCCTGGCTTGCTCTCCTGTCTTGCTGCCATCTTGTTCTTTGTCTGGGAGAGGGTTGGCTCTTCTGCAGGGATTCTTGTGAGCTGATAGCACTTCTCCCCTTCCAACGCTCCCAGCTTGACTTTCCCTTCCCACACTTCCTGCAGGGGTCTGGACCCAGGAACCTGAACTCTTCCACCCCTCCCCAGAGCTGGCGGTGGAATCTGTAGCCACTGCAGCCATCGCAAACTTTTGCTGTCTACGTTCCTGGAAAGGTCCTATCTCCCTACTCTGGGCAGGAGGGCAGGTGGAGGGAGGCTTTTCCCCGGAAGGCTGTTTCCTCTCATAGTCCACCATGGCGTAGGCTGTGGGCCCTGCTCTTTGAGGTGGAATTAGTGCACCCCTGGGCCCTGGGAGGTGGGATGGGAAGGGCGAGGCAGGTGACTGTACCTTGCACAGTAAGCTGAATCAAGCCCCGGTCCTCCCCATACGAGTTGATGGCATGGCAGCTGAAGAACACAGAGTCCCCACGGTCAGCTGGCTTGAGCTGGAGACCACCAGCAGGAGAAGGAGAGGGAAGAGACACGGAGAGGGAGGAGACATGGAGAGTCTTTTAGAGCTGGTCAGCTGAAGGGGCCACTCCAGGGCTATTAGCAAGGCCCTCTTGTTCTGGGAGGGGGACCCACAGGGGCTTTGTCAAGGGCTTCTCTTCCCAGGGACTTCCGAAGATGAAGTATGGAGGACTTCATACAGGGAGGGGCTGGGGGACACAGGAGGGAAGGGGTGAGGAATGGAGGGGCTGAGGAGTCCTAGGGGAGTGAGAGAAGCTGTGGGGGGTCCCAGGGGAGTAAGAGGGGCTGAGAGGTCCCAAAAGGGAGAATGGAGCCTGTGGGGTTCCAGAAAAGAAGGCAGGACTGAGGAAACCACATTTAATTGCTGTGGGATTGTCAGAAAGGAGTTACAGTGAAGTTCTGAGACAGGGAGTCGTGGATGGAGAGAGGAATAGGTGGGAAAGGGGAGGTACATTTTTGGGGTGTGGGGAGGGGGTCCCAGACTCCCCATTCGCCTCCTGGATGCAGATGTGATAGTTGCGGGCTCCCTACTCTCTGAGAGTCAGGGTCCCCCAGGACTGGGGTGGGGGCACTCACCTTCAGCGTGGAGATGACCTCGTCGCCATTGTCCTTGGTGGCAATGGCGTACCGCATGACGCGGTCAGGGTCGATGACCGTGTCCCCCTTCTCCCAGCGGATGATGATGGGCCTCTCACCCCGTGCCGTGCAGTTCAGCTCTTTCGCATGACCCTTGATGGCAATGGTGGTGTTGGGGTGGGAAGTGATCATGGCCGGGACTGTAGGGTGGAGGCGGAGGAGGCCCAGTGAGGGTCAGGAGGCCAGCCTGGAGGAGGCACGCCTGTCCTACATAGAAGCCCCCGCCCAGCCACCCATCCCCGAGGAGAGGTTCCAATAAAGGAGTACAGGGAACCCTACTGGCCTGTCCCTTCTCCCCTGCCCCATCCATGACTGGGGCAGCCTCCCTCTTCACCAGGAGTTCCCACATTTCTCCTCTGGGGAGGCAGTGAACTGGATTCAGAATGCTTTTACATGTATGTCATACATAGAACTACAAAGGAAAGCAGTTATATTGAAATACGGTTGTGTAAATATTAAAAACATGAACAAGCAAACCTTCGATATTGCATATCACATATCAGTATGTATTCTTTACTACTCTTTATAAAGTAGGATCCAGTGGTAGCTTGTATAATTTCTGTCTTATATCACCATGATCCTGTAATAGTGCTGCATGTAAGTGATATTTTGAGATATCCGCAATCACTGTGATGTGATGGGAGCATATCTGAGGATTTCTGCTGGCCACAGTCACAGGGGCTGCTATTGCTGTGCTTTGTTGCTTATGTTAAAGTGGAAGGAAATACTAAATTTCAGTTAGAAGTTAGTGAAAAAATGTGATTTTCCCTCTACTCACATTCATGAATCCCCCTGAATCAGATCTACAGAGCTTCTGGAGGCCTCTGGACCCCAGGTTAAGAACCTTCTCGAAAGCGCCAAGGCTCTGCTTTTTCTCTATAGCTAAGGCTTGTTTATCTCCCTCCTGTTCTTTCAAACAAGATACAAAGGAATACCCCGGGCACCACTACTGCAATTAAGATCCACAAGCAGTGCTAATGGGACTGGACTGAGAAAATCACCACCAAACAACCAGGGCCCAGGCTGGTCATCAGGATCCCCCGTCCCTACTGTCCAGACAAGAAGCCTGTCAGTCATCGGCCCCTCCTCTGGGCCTGAGCACCTTCGCCAGCAGCAGCAGGAGGGGAGGGACAGGGAAAGATGGTCTCAGCTGCAACAAAACCCTGTCCCTCTTTCTCCTCCACCCAACTCAACAAAACACATGGGGCACTTATGTCATCATGAGACCTTGTGCCAGGCTAGGGGGTACCATGACAATGATACAGGGTCCTTGCCTCCGTAGGGAGGGGGAGAAATACCTGCATGGGTCACATGAACTGGAGGAAAATCTGATGAGTGTTTCCTCGAAGGGTTAGCAGACATTAACTTTGACTGAGGGGCATTGGGGAAGGCACAGTCCATCCATTCAGCAAGGATTTATTGAGACCTACTATGTGCCAGGTCTTGTCCTGGGTTCTGGAGCTGACAGTGAAAAAGACAAACATGGCCTGATCTCATGTTTGAAACTCCGGTGATCTCAGGGAGTTTCACTCTAGTGGTGAGAACAGACGAGACTAGCAATTTCGTGAAGAGTGGTGAGTCCTATGCTGGGAGAAATGCATAGCTTCTGATCTGGCAGGACTTAAATGCGGAGAACAGAGTGAAGGGCGCCCAGGCAGGGGAACCTGCTTGAGCCACGGCTCCAAGGCAGATATAGCAGGGCAGGTCCCAGGATGGTTAGTGATTTGGTGCTGCTGGAGACTATCCCCACCCTTTTCTTCTCTGGGAAAATTTGCCTTCCATTGGCTCTTGTCTTGGGAGGGCTGCCCAGGAGCCATCTTGGAGTATATAAATGGGGAGGGGCTGTCCTTGAGTGTAAGAATCAGAAACCCCCCACCCTGAACCCATTCAGGGGAAGACCTCTTGTCATAGCAGAGACCAATTCATCCTATTCTGGTCACTGGCCTGCTTTGGGCAATTGTGCAAAAAGGGGCTTTGTCTTCTCTCTCCTCAAAACCCAGTCCCCTGCCCGCCCCCTCTCCCTGTCCCCCCACCCTCTGCTCCATTTTGACAGCTGGCCCTTTCTCCTCCTTCCTTCCAGGTATTCTCAGGGTTTCTTTCTTCCCCCATTTTTAAAGGCCTGCTCAAAGTTCTTCCCAGCAAACTCTCCAGGGACATCTGACTTTTGTGGACAAATAAGCCTTTGAAGAAATGAGGGGAGCCACAGAGCTGCACAGTGCCATCTGACACCAGTCCGTGGGCAAGGAGATGTCTGGGACAGGAGTAGGGGGATGAAGGGAGGTTTCTGGCTCCCCGAAGTCACACCACACAGCAATCCACCTCCTCTGCTGCCTTGTCATGCAGGACTTGATGCTGACGACAGCCCTGGCCCCCAGGCCCCCGCACCAGCCTCTCAGCACAATCCCCAGCCCCAGCTCATCAAATAATGAAGCAGATAAATTTTATAATGCATGGCATTACACTAGGATATACAATAAAATGCGAAAGACAAATAACGAGGTGCAAGTTATAATGAAGAAAAAGCCTGCAGTCAGAGACATCCGAGTATGAATTATTGACTAAGGTTTTACACTCTCAAGGATGTGCGGAGGAATATTTTTCCATCAAAGATTTGCATAATTCACTCGTATAAACCTGGGTGGAATATAGAGTAAGATTTTACATCAACAAGTCGGGCCTTGCATTGCAGATGCCTCCATTTTTTATTGGAGGATTGAGATGCTCGGGTGTGGGGGAGGCTCGTAAGGGGATTGGGGCCTGGGACCCCCGTGGGTCGGGCCCTGAGGCCTCCTTCCTGGGGAGGAATCCTGTTCCTGAGAGGTTGCTGCTGAAGCCACAGAAGCGCAGGGTAACGTGTGTGTGTGTGCGTGTGTGTGTGTGTAAGTGGGGCTGGGAGGGTGGGTCTTTCTTTGGTAGGAGGACTTCACAGCTCCGTGGCACACCTCTGTTCTGTTCCCCAGGCAGGCCTGCACTAGCCTGCCCAGGGCCTGTGTGTGAATTACAAAGGCACCCTCACCACACCTCTGACTGGATGCTGCCTGGTGCCAGGAGCCACAGCTAGGCCAGTGGAGCAGGGACCACGTTTCAGACCCCATCCGCCCCTGAGGCTATGCACCTTTGAGCAGTGCGTGACCTGTGTGTCCATACATGCCATTCTCACTTCAGGAAACTTGTCTTTCTAGTCAGCTTTGTTCAGCGCTGTGGGCAGCCTGGGACAGCAGGGTCCCCAGGGATCCTTGGCCCCTCAGCCCTTCTGGGGCCTGAGACAGAGTCCCTTCACCCTCCTACAGCTTAGGATGGCAATGAGCACCACACAGCACAGCCTAATGCTCTCCTCATAGCCCCCTAGTTCAGGGCCAGTTCAGGGGAGCCCGTTTATGGGAGGAGGAGAGAAGCCGGAGGGGCTTGGGGACAGGCCAGCCTGGGATCTGCTTCTGAGGCTGTGAGCTATATGGCCTTCCATCCCTTAAAGCTAACTTCTTTGAGCCCCACGGAGCATTGTGAGGACAAAGTGAACCCACATAAAGTGAACCCACATAGGCAAACTGCCTGCCACGCAGCAGCTGCTGAGAAACCTGGGTTCTATTTCTATCCTCAAGGGCTTCCAACAAGACAGGAGCTCTTTTTTTATAGAAACGTAATGTGCCACATAGACTAATGTCTTTCAGTTTATGCGGCAGCAGAACGGTCTTTTGGGTAGGGGAAAAAACCCTATGTCTGTGGCCTGAAGGTAGACTGTGGTACTGAAAGCAAATGTCAGAGAATGTGGTACCCAGGCAACAGACGACCCGGCCAGAGTCAACCTCCATTGAAGTGCTCAAAGTGGCTCTTTTTGGCCTGGCCAATGGTTCCTTGTGTCATAGGCTACACCCACTGCAGCCAGCTCTGGCCAGTTGTAGTTTGATAGCCGGAACCCCACTGGGCTGGTATAATGAGCCCCTGAATTCAAAACACCTGGGTAACAGGTAATAAGGACTAGTTCACACATACAAGTGGCAAGGAAAAGGCTGTGTGGCTTGATATACATTACCAGACTGCACGGAAAAGACCCAAAGAGAAAGCTAGGTCAGAAGTCATTTCTTTTTCCATCCTTGCCAGTGCAGGTGAATGCAATCAGCCAATTAGCAAAACTGGGTTTGCTGAACAATGAAGTTATGTCCAAAATGGCGGATGTGCAAATGGTGGACGTGAAAGGCGCATGCCTCATGCGAGAAGGAAAACAGAACCCTGGTGCGGTAAGATGGGCATATATCCTTTCATGGGAATACTACCAGCTTCCTTCCAGCCCTTGCCCCTAAAAGTGAATCTGGGAAGTAGAAGGCTGTATAAGACCCGTGTCTATTACTCCTACAAGTTCAGAAAATACAAGTGTACAAATTACTGGCTTCAGGTGCTACTTGCCAGGCGATTCCACAGAATCCTAGCATTCTAGCATTGCAGAGCCCAGATGAAGACCCGCTCTACTGAATGTGCAGCAGCTGCTGGCCACATGGGGCTAACGGGTACTTGAAATACAGCCAGCCCAAATCGGGGTGTGTGATAAGTGTAAAACATACACTGGATTTCAAAAATGTAGAAAGAAAAAAAAGAATGTAAAGTATCTATTTTTTTTTTTTTTTGAGATGGAGTCTTACTCTTGCTGCCCAGGCTGGAGTGCAGTGGTGCCATCTCAGCTCACTGCAACCTCCACCTCCTGGGTTCACATGATTCTCCTGCCTCAGCCTCCCAAGCAGCTGGAATTACAAGTGTATGCCACCACGCCCGGCCAATTTTGTATTTTTAGTAGAGATGGGGTTTCACTATGTTGGTCAGACTGGTCTTGAACTCCTGACCTCAGGTGATGTACCCACTTTGGCCTCCCAAAGTGTATGAGCCACTGCGCCTGGCCGTCATTAAGTTTTATATTGACCACATGCTACTATTTTAGATGTATGGAGTTAAATAGAATATACTATTAAAATTAATGTCACCTGTTTCTTTAAAAAAATTTTTTTTGAACATGTGACAAAGAGAGGATTTTAAATTACATACTATTTGGCTCACATTATGGTTCTACTAAATAGCACTGGTATAGATCAGCTGCACAGATCTTCCTTTGGCAAATGAAGAAACTGAGGCTGTGCAAGGAAGCAATTTGCCC